CTTGTTGTTGCAACAAGGGGGTTTACTGTGCATTTAGAATGTGTTACCCACCCAGGAATGTCAAGAGCCAACACGGGTCCCGGGGCAAACATCCTCGCCGGGCCTCCTTTCTCTCTTTTTTAACATTTTCAAGAACTTATTAAAAAGAAGATTCTATATTAGGACAGCAACGAGCTCATAAACCAGACAGAATCATAGCAGCAACTGTTTTAACTCACAGTATAAGCATAAAAACGTTAATAAAGTAACAACAAATATCTATCAAATCTATAAAGTAACAAATACATATTAATTATTACTCAAATTATTATTCCAGTTGTTCTTAATGTATCAAGTGTCTATATGCAAAGAAAAGCCAAGAACTATGGTTTTTTTATCATTAAATGAAGATATAGCATAAAGATGCTTTGTGGGCTTTACGGCACAACCAGGTTTCATTTGCCGGGCCCCTGGGCAGTTGCCCCCCCTCGGCGGGCCTGTACCCACCCATTGGTGGAGGGTTGTAGTCTACTGATGATTACTCATAGACATTGAACAGTCCACATACATTAATATTTGTAGGAATAGGCTTTTTGTTCAAGGCTTGTGGCATGCGCAAAATCTTCTTTGCAGATGTATGAAGTAATAGTTTATTCTATGAAGAGGTGAGTATCTATGTGGAATACATTTTTGGGTAAGGAAAATGTTAACTTTTTCTTTCTCCTATCAATTACTGGCTCTGATAATTGTCTATCTATGCTTGATTAGTATTTATCAAATCAGAGGATGGCATGGCCAGGTGGTTAGGGTGCTCAATCTGTGGATCATGGGTTCGATTCCCCGTCACACCAAACATGTTCGCCCTTTTAGCTGTGGGGGTGCTATAATGTGATGATCAATCCTACTATTCGATAGTAAAAGTGTAGCCCAAGAGTTGGCAATGGGTGATGATGACTAGCTGCTGTCCCTCTAGTCTTATACTGCTAAATTAGGAATGGCTAGTGCAGATAGCTCTCATGTAGCTTTGAGCGAAATTCAAAACAAACAAACAAACAAGCTAAACTTGTGGGTGGAGGGAAGTACCGTATTGGAAGTATGTTTTGGAAAGTGTCAAACTTGTATACTAAAAATGACTCAAGTTCTGGATTTCTCATATAATTGGGTTTTATAAGTTATATTTTTGAGCATTTTATAATGTTAAGGCAACTTTGCATCATGTCAAGTAAGCTGTTTAAGTTTAATATAAGCTACATGTATTTTGTCATAATCATAAATAGAAAATTTATTATTTGTTTTTCTTCATTTCAAACTTGTTATCTTTGGATATTAAAGCTGGCCTTAAATGTCTCATACCTATAAAAAGAAAGGTAGCAAGAACTAGTCATATGATGACAAATCCATGGAGAAAGCAGTGCCTTATGTCAGAAATGGGAAATTATTGGGAAGTACCTATCAGAAATACATTTTCAGTATAGGAAAATTATAACTTACCTCCACTGGAGAAAGCAGTGCCTTATGTCAGAAATGGGAAATTATTGGGAAGTACCTATCAGAAATACATTTTCAGTATAGGAAAATTATAACTTACCTCCACTGCCACTTACAGGTATTGCTCAACCATCAGGGTTTCAACTTTGTCCATCTAAGCATTCATCTGATTTTTTCTTGCTTTCTCCAGTCTTTTATACCTCGCTCAATTGCCTTTGACAAAATTTGTATCCAGATACTCTCTACCTATGTTACTTTTTCTTGACAAAGCTTCACTAATGGGTTTCTCAGTGTTTTGATCTTCTGTGAGTCACATCTAATCAGTTCTCTCTTTTCTATGCCCTTAGCAACCCGGATTATTTGCTCACTGGATGTCACTATGCAGACTGTTATGTGGACCTTCCCAATATCTTTATCTTAAATTTTTTGCCTGATCTGGCATTATCTTCACCTGAGGGTTTTTACTTACCCCCTTTTGCTATATTAGCTACTTCTGCTTTTAGATTATCCATAGGGGTGAGTATTTTGTTTCTACATTTCAGGGTCCCTTGCCTTGTTTTCACAGGATCCCACTCTGTGGCGGGTGTTGTCCAGACAGGCATACTTTTATCCATCCAGTTTTGCAGAAGGAACTAATTGAATTATACTTACTACCAGTTGAAACAGGCTCTGTAGAAATGAGGTTTTCCATAAGATCAACTAGAATCTCACCAGATGGTGTTACCATTTTATGCTGGACCACTACTCATGGACTATTAGGAGTAAAGCTAAAGGGGATTCTGCCTGTCCTGCCATTCATCACATTGAATAAATTGAGGTGGGTTTGCTTTTAAAAAGTGAAGGAACTTAGTTCACTAATTGCTCTGTTTTCAAAGCACTGTTCCTCAGGGCTCCCCAATGCACATTACCCCCCCAAATTCTACTAGTTGAGCTAGGGAGACCTTATCACACCTGGTTTCCATCATTAGAGTGATGGACAGAGGCTTTTCCTCCAGTAATTTCTTCCACTCTTGGAGAAGAGGGCAAAGTTGGGAGCCCTCCTACCTGGGTCACTGGATGTTTTTTTCCCAGATCTCATAATATCAGTTTTGGTTTGATGCATGGCTATCCAGTTAGGGTGTGCATGGCCCTTCTTTTGATCAATATCAGTTTAGTATATTGTTTTTGGAAGGAGGTCCACTATCTCCTTGTTATTCCAAATGCAAAGTGGTCCCATCCTGGGTCCTTGGTTGAGCATAGTTGTTCCAGGGGCAAGTGGAATGTACTTTGCTCACTCAGTTGAGGAATGAGGATGAATGTTCATAATTCCAGACTGGATGAGTTCCATTCCTTTGGTGGAGGTGGATGAGAAGGTTTGTCCACTTTGGTGTTGCTTACTTTCTCCTCATAATTATGGTGGTTCGAAATGCATCATTCTATGGCTACAGGTTGGGATCCAATCAAAAGTATGTCTATAATTGCAGTCCAATTGCTCTAGCCTCCAACATGGGATATAGGGACCAAGACCCCTTAATTCCAACCCCGAGTTATGGAACCTTGGCTACCTGGTTGGGGCTGTAATATAATGATGATAACTGATGTACTATTCCACCTTTGATACAGGAACTAAGTTCAAGGTGAAGAGCATTCCAGTTCTGTATGTAGTGTGGTTTCCCCCACTCTGATACCACTGGTATCTTGTTACACCCTTGATCTATGTAGATGCTTTTTGTATGGATACTGCCCTCTCTGGCCCCTCCACCATCTGAATGTGGGATTCTAGTTATAAGTGGCAGTGAAGGTAAGTGTGTTTTGGAAGTTAACAGTTTCCTAAATTGAAATTGTATTTCCAATAATACTTATCTTCGCTTACACTCTCCCGGCCTTCCTCCCCATAAGAGCTGGTGTTAGAGACTGGGATGGTATCAGTCTTGAAAAAGTGATAAAATTATCTGAATGAGGTACTTATATATAGTACCAGGATAGAAGGCATATTGATGTACATGGAGAGTATCATGAGACAGATGTCGTCAAGGGCAATTGATTGGCATATAAAAGACTGGAGCAAGTGAGAAAAAATCAAACCAATGCTTAGATGGGCAAAGTTGAAACCCTGGAGGTAGTGTAATTGCTGTAAGTGTTATTTTAGGAAAATGTTAAGTTTCACATCAACACATTTATACTGGGCAACCATTTTGTAAAGCCAGTAAAGAGACTGATCATTTGGTGACGTGTTTGTGACCAGTATTTATTCAATAGATGTCGGCAACATATAGTGCTATAAAGAATAAACTTGCTATATATAGAGAGAGAGAATAAGTTTCCTTACACAATAAGTACAATTAAGAGTCAAGATGTCAGTGCTATCCCATTGTCATATTGTTCCACCTTACAATACCTTGCATTTTTATTTAATCTGTGGGTTTAGGACTAACCTTTATTTTCTCATTTGGTGACAGCAGATATTCTGAAGGGTCATACGTCTGATGGTTCATAGTTCTGATGGGTCAATATTCCAAAAATTGAGCATAAAAAAATTACAAATGTAGAACTAATGTACATTTAGGCTGTTGTATTACATAAATGGTAGTATATGTATAGGAACATAAAACGATAACATTTTAACGTATATTTGTAATGATTTCAGAGACCTATATTATTTTTACCCATAATTATAGATTTCTAATCTTTTGAAAAATTATGTGTAAATTTTCATAATAATTGTCATTACAGTAGCATTTCTCATCTGTATATTAGTGAAGATTGTTTAAGTAAAGTATGCTTATTTGGACCTACAAAATTTGTTTTTGCTGCCTATAGGTTAATTGATGAGAACTAAGCCATTTTGTCTGTGTACTCCTTTCAACAACTGTACCACACAATTATAAACACTTCAGAAAAGTTAAGATAAATGAACTTCCTTTAGAGTCACACAATATTTTTCTCCTATGAGTTATTACAATAAGAAAAAATCCTCTATGTCTTTCAAGTAAGTTCATTTTTTTTTAACTCTCCGTAAACTTTTATATTATTGGACTCCTTTATACCTCCTGTAGAAATAATGAAGTTTAAGGTTTGATTTTGAACAAAACAAATATGCAAAATCATGAAATTACAGCTGCTGTTTTAAAATTTAAAATCTGTTTATTTTCCTTTTTTTGATAAACGTATTCGTTAGTCAGTTGTTTTGGGCAAGTAATTAAAGTAAAATTAAAGATATGCACACTCGGATACAAGTAACAAGTGTATGAAGAAATGTTGCTTTTTGTTGAATTTTTTTTTAATGACTATTAAAGTATTCTAAATTTTAATGTTGTGATGGCTTAAATATGTTAACTTTATAAATAAATTCTGTGCATGTCACAGTAAATTCATCATTCTTATACTGCATTGGTTGGGATGTATATCTTGTGTGTTTATGTGATTATAATAAAATGATTATTTCACGATAATTTAGTTTAAAAGATTTGAGTTAAATTTCTTAAAATATCCTGATGGAATTCAAATAATGTTTTTTGTGAAACATTCTCTTACCTAATTTATAATATTTTTAGGGATCAAATTGGAGGCCAAGCCACAGGCAGTTGCTATGGCAGCAACATTATATCATCGTTTTTTTGAAGAGTGTAATCCTGAAGATTATGATCACTATGTAGGTATTACTTGTGTTGCTAATATAATGTTGTCAGTTAAATGCAAATACTTATATTCTATAAAAATTAAACCTTTGATATGTATGGGTAAAAGTGCACATTTCACAACATTTTTTTTCAAGAGCTACATTCAAAATTTAATTCACTGTATTATCAATGTATTTGAATAAAATTTGCATGAAAACGTATTTAAAATTCTAACACGAGTTTTAATATCTTGTTTTTAAAGTTAAATATTTAAATAAAATCTTGGTCTTAACCTCTTTGTATCACAGGCCTCGACCAATATTTTCAGATCCAAGAGCCAGGTGTGCTTAACTGGGAAATAGGGGCTACACTAGTGCCTTAATTATCCACGTTTTTTTTTTCTCCTGCTGGCTTTCAGACTGTGTTTGTGGGAGATCAAGGGCAAACTAGTGAGAATTTAGACTATTTTTCCAGCATCTTTCTTTGCACCATTTTTACAACTAGTACCCCATGTTTGTAATGTTTGAGTATTTCTTCTATGGCTTATGAATCTTCACCATTTTTATTGGGAAAAACTAGTTTGTCTTATTACCTGGTCCTTCCACCTTCGCCAGACATTGCTGTGCATGCAAGGAGATTGGTAGATCAATTGAGGGAGGGTGCTGCCATGTCTTGTCTTCTTTGTTTATTGGATCAGCATGCCTTGGCTTTCCATCACCTGGAGAACACTTATTTGGACTCTCAGAAGTTAGACCCTCTTCTTCCCATTTGGGGCTCTAGACAAGATGCCACTGTTCATCTTAATCAATCTCAGTTTCCAGAATTAGTTTGTCACTTACAACAATTTTGTGTTTTTTTGTCATCTTTGCAACTGTTGTCTGAGGCTTATTATAGGTTCCTTGGTCAAATTATGGAGGATCTTAGTCATTTATTGACTTCTACTTTGGTCAGGTTATCGGCTTCTGCTCTTTCCTTGGTATCTTGGCTGGTTTGTTGCTGGGATCTTTTGTAGAGATGTACCTTACTGGAGGGAGTTTGCCTTCCTGTGTCGGCCCTTAGAGATCTCAGAGAATCTCCTTTTCTCAAACAGTCTATATTTGCAGGAATTCTAGTCTCCATGGGATCTTGAGTGGATGTGGCCCATCTGTACTATTCACTCTCTACACTGGCTTCTCAACTGTCCAAAAGTTCTTCTGTAGGATGGTTTACTGCATCTCTTGCTTCAGTGCCATGATCCATTGGAACACAAAGGTGATTTCGACCTTACCAGCAAGTATCCTTCTCCAGAGTAGAACAAAGTTTTCAGCATTGGTAACTACTTTATGTCAGGTCCTGTAGGGTTTCAAAGGGTTCATGTCAGTATGGGAGACAGATCAGTGGGGCATTTAGGTTTTCAGGATCAGATTGGTCATTCAGTTCATGTCTCTTCCTCGTCTGTCCCTCATACCAGTTGGTTTTCCACTCCCCAAGGACCCTCTTATATCCAACTGTTGACCACAAGCCATCCAGGATCTTCTGCACAAAGAGGCCACAGATTGCATCACCTCCTCTCTCAGGAGTTTTTATTTTTGGTTGTTGATAATACTGAAAAAGACTGGTGATTTGCAACCCGTGATCGACCTTTTTCATCTCAATCATTTTACCAGCCTCCTTGGTTTATAATAAGAGTTGTTTCTTTCCCTTCGGTGGCTCTTTTCACCCGGACTATGGATGACAAAGTTTGACATAACAGATGCCTACCTTCATAACCTGATTGTTGAGTCTTCAAAGTGTTCAGTTTTGTTCTCAACCATTCGACCTTACATCTGCTTCACACATTTTTTAGCTGATAGTCAGAACTTTTTCACGTCATTTTCACTCCCTCTGCATTCACACTCACCCTTACATGGACGACTGGCTTCTTCTTACCCCTTTCTGCCATTTGGCAGAACTACACACTCAAACTCTGTTATCAGAAGCTGCAAAATATGCATCCTAGCTAACTAATGAATGAATATTTGCTGTAAAATTCTTATCAATGCTATAAGTGTAGCTAACAGTTTGGCCGACAATTTTGAATTAATTCATTTGACCCTTTCTCCCTGGGTACCCTTTACT